GGAAGCTTCCGAGTGGGGGTGCATGTGTTTGTGCTGACGACCATAGCACAGGCCAACACAGAACACTGATGCAAATACTTGAGTGCAGGAGGAAACATTCTGCTAAACAGGCTGGTGAGGTTGTTTCATACAACTTGATTTCTCTCTGTAATTAATATTCTTTCCCTATTTCTCTGTGCTTCGCATCACAAAATGATGTTTCTTGTGAAAACTTTATTTTATCCTTTGTTTATTCTTCTAAGGATTTGAGAAAGCTGAATTTAAACTCAGGCTCTAGTTGGTTAGATTTCTCCCAACAGAGGAATTCAGACTTGGAAAGGTTTGTTTACTTTGTTTTTCTTAGATAATCAGAGTGTAATGAGTTCATAGAACCTCTTGAAAAATTAAATTGGTAACTTTAAATACATTGGTATTTAATTAAGTTAAATTTGAACTGGTAACACTAAATACATGATTTGGGATTGGTTTTGTAAAGATGCTGTATTGTAGCAAAAATTATCTGTCTTGTTTCAGTGACTTGATACAGTAGCAGAATTATGTCTTGCATACAAAAAGAAATATAAACATATTTTCCATATCCTTCCATTGGACATCATCTTGAGTTATGGGAACTAAGAACTTATATATTTATTTAGGCAAAGAAGAGGAAAAATAGCAGATGACAGACACTAGCTGCTTTTATATTTAGAATCCAGTCTACAATCTTTGCCTTTTTAGGATTTTCTTTTTAAAATCTGAACCACTTGGGCAATTCTTCCAATAAGTTACACACTGTGCTTCATCAGAATTGGGAAGATTCACCCATTAATTCAAACAGGGTTTCTGGTCCTTTAGAAAGATGAGACATTACATGTGATTCAATTCACGTATGACAAAATCATAGTATTTAGTAATGGGATGACTGTGAGATGGTCTTTGTAAGGGAAGTGACATATTGCAATCAAGGGTGTGCCCCCAAATTCAGTGAATTGGAGCAAACAGAGCTAGCTGGGCAGACAGAGTGCTCACAAAGGAAATATTCTGCACTTCCTAGACCATGGTCTCAACTCAGACTCTGTCCTTTCTCTTCTTTTTCATGTTACTCTATTTTGGGGCTAGAGCAGTTCCCAAAAGTGACCCCTGAGGACAAGACTGCAGTGATTATGCTGGGGTTTAATTAGGTGGATCACTTCTGTAAAGAGGAGCAAATAACTTCTCTGATGACAGGCCCAGTTATGTAAATAACACTTTTTATCTGCATGAGCCTTAAGTTAATTCATCACATGCAATATTATCATATTTGGTTTAACTTCACTAGACCCTAAACTGCATAGAATTAGGAAAATTGCCATTTAAAAAAGCCACTGCTGCCCATTAAGGCATAGAATTTAACTAATATGTATCTATTTTTTAAATGGATAAACAACTGGATGATCCACCAATGAGTCAATAGGAAATCACTTGATAGATGTTCAGATTAAAACTTCACTTCGCCTGTGACAAGTACATGGATATTGAGTGTTCTTAGGGTAAAAAGGATGGGCTGTGGAAGCATTCAATGGGGTGATTGAGTCTATGCAAGAGTCTTTAAAATTTCCTAGGGAATGTTGAGGCCCTTCCTATTACTGGCAGGTAGGAAGAAGAGGGTTTATGATATAGTAAACATCCCTGATATGTCAGTTACTCTGTGTTTTTATAAACTTCATCTCATCTAGTTCTCAATCTAAGAACAAAGCCTCTGTTTTCACCAGTTTCCATTGCTATAACAAATACCTGAGGATAATGAATTTATAAAATATCAAGCAAGTATTTTATTCACAGTTTTAGAGATTTTAGTCCAGGACAATTTGGCCCTCTTGGTGGAACGCTATGTTGGAAAATGGTGGTTGCTCAAAGCTGATCACTTGATGGTCAGAAAAAAAAGAAAGTAAGAAAAGAGGATTGGGTCTCAATCATTAGCTTCCTTAAAGAAGTCCCCAGGGACCAAACATCTTGCACTGGGCTACATATCTTCAAAGTTCCACTACCTCTCCAGGTACCAAGCCTTTAACAATAGCCTTGGTCAGATTCTTAATATCCAAACTATAGCAGGCTGGTTCCAGAAGGTATATAAATTCCAATATGTAATTAAAGAAGCTGAAACAGAAAGATCAATTTACTTAGACATTTCAGTTAGCTTTTCTTTTTTAATATCTCCCACTGCTTCTTAAATCAGTCTCAAAATTACCTGTTCCATTTTCTCATAGACACATAGGCCCCAAGTACCTATATACCTCAGACAAGACATATTCCAAATTCCTAATGTTCTCTTTGTTATAAAGTACATATTAATTGTGTAAAGAAGTTTTACTACGGTATCAGATTACATAATATATACAATACATATTTGTGCATACATATACATACATACACATATAATTCTGTATTTACTTATGAATGTTTATAGTTAAATCTAATGCCTACATATAAGATAAACCATGTGTCCTAGTGAGCCTAGTTGACATTATTTATATGATGGATTTCAAATACATCTGCTTACCTGAAAATGACCTGGGTTAAGGTGGCTCATGCCTCTAATCCTAGCTACTCAGGAGGCTGAGATCTGAAGATTACAGTAGAAAAACCTATGATACACTTATATGAAATTACCCACCCAAAAACCAGAAGGTGTGCTGTGGCTCAAGTGGTGCTAGTCTTGAACTAAACATGTCAGGAACAACAACCAGGCCCACAGTTCAAGCCATAGAACTGGTAAGCATGCATGCACGCACACACACACACACACCCTGATACAAATCATTTTTATATTCCATTTTATATATATATATATATATATGCGTGTGTGTGTGTGTGTGTGTGTGTGTGTGTGTGTGTTTGTGTAGGACATCTGAGCTGTTACTGCTATAGTGAATATTAGCAGCTGTAATTTGAACCAAGGTATGTCCAACTTTAAAGAGAATGCCTAATTGGAAACTACCATGCTGTCATGCGGAAGACTTAGAAGATGAGGAATTATAGATTGATCATTGAAATCCTGCCCTTTACAAATGGTAAGTGAAGTAATTCAGGACCAGAAAGACAAAGGGTGCATGTTTTCTCCAAAATGTGGAAGCTAGATTTAGCTTATACATTTACAAGTAAATATGTTGAATAGTGTGCAAGTGCATAAAATGTACTAACTGAAATACAATAGTTTTAATGGAGTACACAAATAGTGTAATTCCTTAGAAAGGAAAAGTCAAAGTGCAACAACAACAACAACAAAAAAAAAACACCAGGAATGGGATACTTAAAAGGGTTGGGGGTGGAGTCAAGGGGAAAGGGGTAGACCAATGAAGAGGAGAAGAAGAGAAATATGCAGTCAGGAATACAATGTATTCCCTACAAAATTAAGAAGAGTGAGGGAATGGGTGGGTAGGGGAGTAATGGCAAAAGTGTTGAAAGTGGGTAGCATTGAACAAGATGCATTGCATTCATAAACAGCTTTGTTAAATGGCAAGTCCTTTGCACACTATTTAAAAATAATAAAAATATAAAAAAGAAAAAGAAAAGAAAATACCTGCTCCTACCAATAGTTTTTCCAATGTACTTTGTGCTCATTTGCATAGAAAATGGCATCATACTATTGGAAGCTGAGATTGTCACACTTTCGTTGTGAGTGTTGGTTTTGAAGAAATAGTGGTCTAGTTTTTTTTAACTTCAGTTTCCTAATATATCCTCTGACCACTTCTCTCAGCTCTATCCTCCCTGGGATCCTACAGCTGAGTTCACATATTGGGTCTTGTTCCATGCTGCTTCCTGCCTAGTTCCTCACACAATTCTAAATAATTCAGAGAATGACCACCACCCAAGCATCTTCATTTGTGAATAGTGTAAGGGTTTCAGTCTCAGAAAATCTAGAAAACCCCTTCCATCTACCCTTGGTTGGCAAAACAGTTCTTAGTCTCCCAGTCTTTATATTCCTTTCTCGCATTTGGTTCTGTATTTCTCCAGCTCATAGTTATTTTGTCTTTCATCTTTTTAAAAATCATTTTCCTCTCTAAAATAATTTCCCCTTCATCTTATCTAATTGCATTGTCAAGATTTCTCCCAAGGTTTTTTAACTCCAAATGTATGAGATTTGCCATGTAATTTTACCCTTCTTTAGGACCAGAGTTCTAGCCTAAACTATTTGTGTGCTTCTCATTGTGATTTTGTTACTCCTGCTCTCCCATGGATACATATCTGAGCATTTTGTTTACACTAAGAGAAGGGCTTCCTTTGACCATTGCCTTTCTGAGTGTTGATTATTTTCTATATCCCTTGCCACTACACATGCCCTGAGATCTTATGGCAGCATTCACCAAAGATTCCTCTATTTTGTATCACTGTTACTGATTAGCAGCTGGCCATTATAAACCACAGTTTCTGATATTCCTTCTTGCATGGAGTTGAAAACAAAAACTAAATTATGACTAATAGAGTATTTATGGAAGAGATGCATACCACTTCCAACTGGTCTGGAAAAATCCCCACAAAACCACATGATGTCACAATTCTGAGAAACGTCCTTATATTAGAGTGGCAGAACCTTTGTCAGTGTTTGCTTTTGATTGACGTTTTGAAGCAGAAACTACTTCTCTGTTTACATGGGTGGAAATAAGTCTGTAGTGTCATGTTAAATCTCTGTGCTTTGGGGGCTCGTCTGACAGAGTACCTAGTTTTAATAATGCAATACATCCTCATCAAACCACTGAGGCCAGCGTGATTTACAACCAGCAGAACTTAGTATCTTCTTAATGAGTATTGTTATAAAAGTCTAAAAGCCCCTGTGGAGTCTTCAACTGTTACCATGTCAGGTTCACAATCTGCTTAGCTCTATGAAACTGAGATCCAGTTCTATCTCTCTTCCTCTTTGGGCCAGCCTTGTATTGCCTTCAATTGATCAACATAGCTTATACCATTTATCCAACTACTACATATTGAAAACTATTTTAAAAACTAAGCTATTTGTTCAGAACAAACATAGAGGACCCAATTACCTCCTTGGCCACAGGTTTGTGAACACTTTGTCCAAGTTGTCCATCCTGAGAGCTGACAGTTGACCACACATTCTACCAAGCAGGGAAGGCTCACTCTCTGGGGCTTCTCCAAATTGCGCTGCAAATAGCAACAAAATACAACTTCACTACCCAATAAAACTGCTTTTATGAAAAAAGGATACCCTTCATAGTGCAATTAGTAAACCTTCCACATTTCACTGGGGGAACAAATTGCCTGTCTGTTACAAATCCATGATAATCATGGATAATATTTTTTTTATTTCACAACTAAAATTTTGTAAACCCAAATTCCTTTTTTTTTTTTTGTCCATTGTGGGGCTAGAATTCTGGGCCTGGGCACTGTCCCTCAGCTTCAGACTAGCACTCTACCACTTGAGCCAAAATGCCACTTCCAGTTTTCTGGTGGTTAATCGCATAATTGGAGACTTTCCTGCCTGAGCTGACTTTGAACTGCGACCCTCAGATCTCAGCCTCCTGAGTAGCGAGGATTACAGGCATGAGCCAGCAGCACCCAGCCCAAATTCCTTTTTATAAAACTATAAGTCTAGAATGGATCTGCCTGGGAAAGTTGTAAGCCATGCCATAGAAAGATCTGTCCTGTTGCTTAGTAAGAAACTGAAGGGACATCTCAGTATCAAATCTAGGCATCCTGGGATGAATCAACAGCACACAGAGACCTCGAAATTAACAGCTAGTATGGCTAAAATATAACAGAATAGGAATCAAAATAAAACCAACACCCTCTCTGAACTCCTAAAAAGAGCAACTGAACTCCTAAAAAGAGCAATTGTATTTATTATGGTCTTGCTCTCAGGAAAAGATGGCAATATGCTTCATTTAAGAAAGTCTATTTAAAGTCAACCTCTAGAGACAAAATGTAAATATTATGTAATGACTAAGATATATTAGTTTTTAGTGTAAAAATAAATCACCTTAGAAATATGAAGAGAATAATAAATAATTTTGATTTAGAACTCATACAATGTTTGTTTGCCTAATTAGGAATATTTTGACACTCAACACATGTTAAATATTAGCAGTGCATATACACCAAATTTAAATTAATTATTAAATCATGATGGCTTGCCAAGTGCATAAATTGGAAATTACCACAGGAGAGCTATGATTAATTTTTGAAGCATGGGTATTCTACTTAGGTTAATAACTTGGGATTTTAAAAATTAACATTTTAAAAACATTTGTTGGACATAAACAGTTTAGAAAGCAGAAGCACATTTTTTCCACTAGTGAATATCAAAAGAAAACATTCATTACATACATTAAATATTGATTATAAACTGTTATAGAGAGATTAGTTAACTTTTCCTGGGCCAGACAACTAATTAACTGAAATAGAATGTTAAAATAAATCATTGACAGCAGATAGCACTTTCTATCAGGGTTGCTATTTTCACAATATCGTCTAGTTTCAAATGGGCTGGTCTAATGTTGATATCATGGTTGACAGCTATTTGGAGAGCATGTTGAGAGAATATTTGGAGTTAGGAAAGATGAGGAAGAGTTCTTTTGCTTTAATTTCCAAATGTGTACTACACCTACGTTAGCAGCAACAGGACCAATTTTCATCTTGCCAATTTGTTACAGAAGTTCCTGAAGCAATCTTTGTTTTCAACTCCCTTGTTTTCAATTTATTCCAAGGTTTTATGATTCTTACAATGGGATAGCATCTTCATTTCTATTCAGCAACCCATATAGGCTTTTCATTTATTTGTTGAGAAGGAAATGTTAAATTCTCTGCAACACATCTGTGTAAAGCTTGTTCTTTATATTCCATACAGTTTGTGACGGAAAAGATGGATGTAATATAATTAGAAAAATTCAGAACAACCTAGTTTGAAACTTGATAGGGAGGGTGTTTATATAGCTAGAAATGGAGAGGATCGCTGTATTGTTTAACCAGCAATCACTTGTTGAGACAATAAATGTCTATGATAAAGGGACAGTGTGTCAATATGTCATGTGTCAAGATGAAGGGTCATATTCCTACTAGTTAAAGTTCCTAAGGTTAAACAGTTTGTTGGCAAACAAGCACAACATATAAGTTCTTGGAAGTATTACATACATATAAATACTAAAACATTTGATACATATATTTCATGGACTTACTTCTCCATTATAAAAAAAAAAGTTTTCCCCCTTCATTGTGACCAAGTCCAAACTAGCTAAGTACAACTGTACTATAATTTTACTTTGACTGGACCTAAGCTAAGAGGAGAACAAATCAGTCTGCTATCTGTATTAAACAACATAAAGGTTATAGACAAATTTTTTTTTTTGGTCCAGTCGTGGGGCCTGAACTCTGGGCCTGAGCGCTGTCCCTCAGCTCTTCAGCTCAAGGTTAGTACTCTATCACTTGAGCCATATCGCCACTTCTGGCTTTTTTCTAATGTGGTGCTGAGGAATCGAACCCAGGGCCTCGAGCATGAGCCACCTTCCCAGCCCCGGTTATAGACAAATATTAAGGAAACAAAGATAACTCAACATGAGCAAGTTACCTGCTCACACTGGTCCATGCTGACTGGCTTGCCATCACTCCGAACACAGCTCAGAAGGCGAGTCTTGACGCCTTGGCCACAGGATGCATTTTCACTCAGCTGGCAGGTACTCCATTCTATAGGCATAGAATCACCACCAAAATTATGATCATGTGAACAAAATAGAGCAAAGCTACATTGGTGAAGTCCACATATATCCCTAAAACTCTTCCCAAGTGGCTCTGGAAAGCAGGATGAGAATATTTTACTAGGGGAAAAACCTCCAAAAATATAGACATAAAATTGTAATAATATATGTATATGTCTAGGGTAGTCTTAGAAGAGGATCACAATAGCCCAAAAGCTATGTACATATGACCATATAAGATGATGCTAAGAAAAATTAACTCAAAGATATGGAAACAAAAGTTTTTTCTTTGCTGTTTTTGTTTTTAAAGTACTATGTGAAGTTACTTCTTTTTTTTTCATTTTGTCCCTATGGTTTATCCCTTGTTGTCATTATATTTGATTTTAGTATCCTGTGTATTGTATATACATTAATGTGAATTAGGGAAGGAAAGGGGAACAACAAAATGGTGAGACAAAGGACAAAGGGCAAATCAATGCAATAATGATACTCACAAGACAATATGTTGGAAACGAACTTTATAACTTGGTGGAGGGGCATTAGGGGAGTGGGAAAGTGGCAGAAAAATGAGGGAGGGGGTAACAATGTTTGACAAGAAATGTACTCACAAACAAACAAAAACTAAGCAACTGAAGTGAGTTACCTCCTAAAGTTGGATTTCCAGATGTAAAGTGACTAATGGTTTGTTAGCAATCATGTCACACTAGCCAGCATAGCAGAGAAGGGGCACTAAACAAGATGATAAACAAAAACTAATATGGAACCAACTTTTCTTGGTGATTTTGAGAGAGAGAACAACAAAGAAATGATGCCAGATGATAGGAATTTATTTGCCCCTCCATCCATTCTTATATGGAAATCTTAACCCACCCAGGGTGACAATGTTAGGAGGTAGGTCTTACAGAAACTGGGTACGAGAACTCACAAAGGTTAGTATCCTTGTAGAAGAGACTGTAGAGAGCTTGTTTGTCCACTGAGCACGTGAGAGTACAGCTACCATGGGTAAGAAGCCCACACCAAACATGGAATTTGCCAGTACCATCATCTCGGTCTGACAAGATCCAGATTTATGAGAAATAGCTATCTCTTGTTTAAAAGCTATTCAGCATATGGCAATTTGTTGTAGCAACCTGAATGAACTAAACAATTTTATTTAATGAAAATATTAAGCGAAATTAACTCCAAGATAGGGACACAAGTGGTTTTTTCTTTCTTGCTATTGTCTCTAACGTATTTATAAGGTACCATGTGATTGTTTTGTTGTTTTTTATGTCCCTCCCCCATGGTATAAACCCTGTTTTCACCTGTATTTAATGTCAGTATAATTTGGGAGGGGAAGGGAAAAACAAAATGCTTCAATAGAGTTACAGGTTGACCCATTATAATAATGAGATGTACAAGATGCTATGTTGGAAAAGGAACTTTATAATTTAGCCTGGGGGGATGGGTGGGGATGGGGAGTGTAGCTATGGAGGTGGGAAGGAAGAGATTGGTAGGGGAAAAACAAAGAAGGAGGCAACAATGCTTGATAAGAAATGTACTCATTACCTTGCTCATGTAACTGTAATCCCTCTGTACAGTATTTTCACAATAAAAAAACTTATTTTTAAAAAGAATATATAAAATAATCTAAATTATTTGGTATTTTTGATACAGTACAACCAAGAAAAATGTTCTGGAAAAGAACAAAAGACCTAAAGAATCTTTATATTTTCAAGTTAGTCTACAATGGAAGCAAGTTTTATAGACTTGGGTAGTCACATTATACTGTAGATAATAGACAGTTAGCATAAACTACCTTATAATTCACTTGATTAAAAATGCTTGTTATTACTTTAAATGTGCTTGACCAAATCAGTGCTAACCTTATAGTAATGATATTTGCCACATTGGGTAAAGGTTCCAAGATTTTAATAGCAACAGTAAGCTTACATACAGTAAAAGTTAGTCTTTAAATTATATGCTTTTCCCAGCTATACAGAAAGCATTAGTAGGATTGAGCTTTGAGTCTGAACCCAGACAAAAATACAAGCCATTATCTGAAAAATAACTAAAATCCAAAAGTCTGGGGATGTGTACCACATGTGATAAATCACCAGCTTAGTGTGTGTGTATGTATGTAGTATAATATATATATTATATTGATGTCTAGTATGTTTTTATAAATATATTTATGCTCTTTCTATTAGGCAAATTTCACTGTTTCTGAAAAATACACTATAAAAATCAAGACTCTAAAGAAAAAGGGCAAATATACCATATCATCATCATTTATCCGAAATAAGGACAAGACATATCAACAGCAATTCCTCTAAGGTTTTCTTTTTCTTTTTTTGTCAGTTGTGGGGCTTAAACTCTAGGCTTGGGCTCTTCCCTGCGCTTTTCAGTTCAAGTTGAGAATTCTACGGCTTGAGCCACAGCACCACTTCTGGTTTTCTGTTTTTGTATTGGAGATTAGAGTCTTACAGCGTTTCTGGCCTGGACTGGGTTTGAACCATGATCCTCAGACCTCAGCCTCCTGAGAGGGCTTGAGCCATCTGTGCCTGGCTTCCTTTGAGGTTTTCTACAAGAGAAATCTCAATAGTGCTTTGTCTCTGCATGAGCATAATGCTGTGTTCCTTAATATATAATTGAATGCTGAGACTTAATATGCTTCTACATTTCCTTACAATTTTGTATGTCAGCTGTTGCAGGAGTAGCAGGTCACAGGTCAACGTGAGTAATAGTCCTTTGTTTTTAGACCCTGAGTACTATGGTACTCAGGGAAACTGAGTACTGGCTGAATGACTGGGCTGATGTGACTCCCACTACCTTGCAGTCACTCCTGACTGCTCAGGCCCCTCCATCTTTTTCTGAGCTCTATACAGGATGCCAAAAACTTTAATTTTTGAAATAATATGTGTCATGAAAGCCCCAAACTCCATGACACTATGACGACTTTCATCTCTCAATGGTAAATTACCCTTCACTACTTACTTTTTGTTGTTTTAGTTTATCCTGGCTTTATTGCAGCATTATTCTGAAACTGTGCCAGACCTTTTTAAAGCATGTTATACTTCAGGGGCTCCAGATGGTCTGGCTGAATCTTCATACCAAGAATGAGTTTGTTTGTTTTTTTCTGTAAAGTGTCAATAAGACCTTGTCCTTTTGAGTAACACGTTCACACATTGTCACTCTTCCTCCAAAAACTCAGGAATAGAAACACACACCAACATCTACTCATTTGCTAGTGTTCAGAACAAATAGCAAGGCCATGGCTTTCAACTTTACCTGTTAGGTTGTAGTGGAACTGGAAGCAGTTTTCATTAAGGAGGCAGGGCCGCACCTGTGAGTCTTCGGCACAAGTCCTTGAGCTCAGCAAAGGCCTTAGCAGATGGCGAGTTCTTCTCTGCATTGTATGGGGGTCACATGACTGAAAAACAAAAGACCACAGAGAGTGGGTCTATGCGGAGTTCATAAATCACACATATGCATAGACATATGTGTGATTTATGAACTCTGTATAGTAGGTAGCTATTTAACAAAATACAGGGAAGAGACTTCTGTGAGTGTCACACAGTATTCAGAAAGTCAAATCATTCTGTGATTCATGGAAATTTTGTTTTCTGCAATTATTTCTCTGTTATCTCCAAGACTACATTTTTATCTCATATATAATAAAGCACATGGAGATGATGTTCACCCATTAAACTCATTTTACATTCTGAAATACTCAGCACAAAGTGAAAAATCAATACACTTTGTGAGTTTAAATGTCACTCTGACCTCAGATAGTTTAGTCCAATAATTATATGGAGTTTTAAGAATGAGATTTATTTGTTCGTTTGTTTGAACTGGTCTTGGGGCTTGAACTTAGGGCTTGAGAAATGTCCCTGAGTTTTTTAGTGTAAGGCCACTTGAGCTACATACAGTTCTACTTCTAGTTTTTCTGGTGGTTAACTGGAGATCAGTTTCATGGATTTTGCTGCCTGGTCTGACTTCAAACTGTGATCCTCAAATCTGAGCATCCTGAGTAACTATAATTACAAGTGTGAGCTACTGGATCCCTGCTGAGAAAATATTTGTTTTTAAATCCTAGAAGAAACATATTAAAATCTATCAAGTCACATCAATTAAGTCTTATTCCCTTCATAAACTTTCCTGTAATACTAATTTTTTCTCCTTCTTATTAAGCAATTCTACTTATGCCTAAGGATTTTTACAGGTTTGTTTATAAATGTATGTATGTGTCTTCATGTATTATGGACAGGTATGCTATACCTATTTGTATAGTGTCATTGTCCATATCTTCATTACCCTTTTTTCTTTCCTTAAAATTTATTTCTGGCACAATGCATCATGACTACCATTTCTCTCACAACTTCTTGAATTATTGTTATTTTTTTTTGTCAGTAGTGGGGCTTGAACTCTGGGCCTGGGACTGTCCCTGCGCTCTTCAGCTCAAGGCCAGCACTGCTGGAGCCACAGCACCACTTCCATTGAAATCTTGATATAAATTTTGCTTATCACTTATTAATTAGGCAGTTGTTTCTTTGAGGATTTGTTGTTGGAGAATTTAATTTTTTGAGTTTGAAGTATATTTTAGATATGAGACCCTTGTCTGTTGTATGGCTAGTGAAGATCTTCTCCCAATCCATGGGCTTTCTATTGATCTTGCTAACTATGTCCTTTGCCATGCAGAAGTTCTGCAGCTTCATGCAATCCCATTTGTCCAATGATTTTTTGATTTGTTGTGTTTCTGGATCTCTATTAAGAAAATTTCAGCCTGTGCCAATGAGACCTAGGGTTTCACCTATTCCTTCCTGTAATGTTTTCAGGGTTTCTGTTTTGACTCCGAGTTCTTTGATCCATTTGGAGTTGATTCTGGTTCAGGGTGATATATAAGGAACTAGGTTTAGTTTTCTACAAGTGATTAACCAATTTTTCCAGCACCATTTACTGAAGAGGCTGTCTTTCTTCCGTTCTATTTTTTTAGTTCCTTTATCAAAGATGAAGTAGCTATAGGTCTGTGGGTTCATTTCTAGGTTTCAGTTCTATTCCATTGGTCCTGAGGTCTGTTCTTGTGCCAGTACCAAGCTGTTTTGATTACTGTGGCTTTGTAGTAGAGTTTGAAATTTGGTACTAATATTCCTCCAGCACTGTTCTTTCTGTGGATCGTTTTTTGCTATTCGGGGTCTTTTATTGTTCCATATGAATTTTTGGATTGCCTCTTCTATTTCATTGAAGAATGAGGATGGAATATTGATATCCTCAAAGAAACAACTGCCCGATAAACAAGTGGGCTAAAGACTTAAAGAGAAACTTCTCTGAAGAGGAAATAAGAATGGTCAATAGACACATGAAGAAATGCTCAATCTCTCTAGCCATAAAAGAAATGCAAATCAAAACAACATTGAGTTACCACCTCACCCCAGTTAGAATGGCTATAATCAAGAACTCTAATGACAACAGATGCTGGAGGGAATGTGGACAGAAGCGAACCGTACTGCATTGTTGGTGGGAGTGTAAACTTATTCAACCACTTTGGAAAGCAGAATGGTTGTTCCTCAAAGGACTCTACATAGAACTCCCCTCTGGGGGAAGGAGGTAGTTATGGAGGTGGGAGGGAAGGGATGGTAGAGGAAAAACAAAGAACGAGGCAACAATGCTCAATAGGAAATGTACTCATTACCTTGCTCATGTAACAGTAAACCCTCTGTACAGTATTTTTACAATAAAAAGCATACAAAAGTATGATTTATCAGCTTTTCAATAAATAACCATTAAACACATTCATTACATGCAATTCCAGCCCCAGGAAATCTAAGTAGACTTTAAGGTGAATTTACAAAAAATCTTGGAATTATGATCACTGAATCACTTTCTGTATTTGAAATATTTAATTTATTTATATTCCTTTTACCTTTTCATATATTATACTGAGCATGAAATCTGTACTCTGAATCTTGGTTATGTACATAGTAATAATGTTGGGTTACACTGAAACATGAAGAAAAAAATACCATGGATTTTTCTAATGTTAAAAGCCTTGGAAAAAATCATATCAAGTGAGGTTACTCAGTTCCAATAAAATTTAGGTCCCATGGTTTCCCTTATTTGCAATAATTAGCATCTATATAGGATAATCTTATCAGATGAACTGAAATACTCAAAAACCATGTACAATTGACCATATAACTTGATGCTAACTGAAATGAACCCCAAGATACGGACACAAGAGTTCTGTCTTTATTGTTATTTTTTAAATGTACCATGTGATTTTCTTATTTTTTTTTGTTGTTGTTTCCTTTGTATGTTCTTTCCCCTATGGCATATCCCCTGTTGTCACTGTACTCAATTTTGATATCCTGCATCTTGTATATACATATGTCTAATCTGGGGAGAGGAAGGGGAATAACAAAACGCTCAAATAAGTACACAGGATGATCCATTGAAACAAAGATACCTACTGGACTTTACAACTTCGTGTAGTGAGGAGGGGAATAGAGAGAGGAGCATGGGAGGTGGGGGAGGGAAGGGATAGTGGGACAACAACAAGGAAGGGAAGGGCTAACAATGTAATGTACTCATTGCCTTACTCATGTAACTGTAACCCCTCTGTACATTTTAACAATAAAAAATAAATGAAAAGAGAAAAGTTTTGATTATTGAAGCACATTTACCATCGATGTTATTTTATACTTGAATAATGTGTCCGCATTCGTAATTTCACAATTGTATCATATTGTCTCCAGATGATCAAAAAGTATCAATCAGGTATTCTTAATAATTTTACACAAATTCCAGGCCAAATACTTACAATAATTTATTACCATCTTACCAATTAGTTTCAATGTTTATACTCATGAAGAGGAAAATAAATGATTTGTCAATAAAAGAAAACAAAATATCTTGGTAGATATTTCTGCTTAGTATTTTGCCGAAATTCTATTGCAAAATTATGTCTAAAATAAATGACTGTTTAGACTAAGCTAGTGCTTAAACAGAAAGTAAAAAACACACAAACACATAGAGGTAAATATTTCACAAGGAAACATTGCAATGCTTTCTCAAAAATTTAAATAAAATTTAGCCCTGATTTTCACAGGTTGACAGACATTGGGAGAAATCTAAACTGAAAATATTGTTTCTCATTCTTCATTCATTTAAAAACACCCAGCAATTCCACGGTGATGGCTTATATAACAATGTGCTAGGAGAATAAAGTCAAAAACAATGGACAGTATGTCCAGTGGAATTAAGAGAAAGTAACTTCATAAACCTTAAACAACCAGTGTGTTAATGGCAATGGCTGAAACTATAGGGTTTGTGTGATATCAGCATCTAATGGGAGAAAGCAAAACATTTAAAAAATAGGGCATCTGAAAGATGTAATACATAAAATAGAAAATAAAAGCTGAGGCCTGAAGGATTTTACACAAAAGCAGAGGGATGTGGAGGGTTATAGAGAGATTTGAGTCAATGTGATATTAATCCAGTGAACTCCTAATGTTAAGAAGCCAAAGTTCCTTTCAAGCACAGTTTACTGCTACTAAAAAGAAACAGAGGGCAAGAGTTTTCAAGCCAAGTAAAAAAGGGAAAGTAAAAAAGGAAAAGCAAGCTAGGAATGGAAACAAATCTGACAAAGGAAATTAATTTATTTTTATTATTAATTTATTTTTGGACACTCCTTTCCAAAGTATACAAAAACTAGTTTCACAAGACAGGAGGCAAAGAAAAAGGTTAAAACCAAATTCCATAATAGAATAAAGGGTAGAATGACATTCCATGTTTAAGAAAATACATCAGGAAGACAAGAAACACTTGAAACACTTCATGATTCTTTTCAAAAGCACTAAAGGTTGTATAGGAAATGATGCAACATACACAAAGTTATAAACATAAGTAAAAATTAGGAAATCAGAATTAGGCGATAGGGCTCATTAAACAAATCAGAATAAATGAAGAATCACTTTTCAGGAATTAATTATAAGAATATGAGATTGAGGTATGCCAAAGTGGTTGAACAAATTTACACTCCCACCAACAATGCAGTACGGTTCGCTTCTGTCCACATTCCCTCCAGCATCTGTTGTCATTAGAGTTCTTGATTATAGCCATTCTAACTGGGGTGAGGTGGTAACTCAATGTTGTTTTGATTTGCATTTCTTTTATGGCTAGAGAGATTGAGCATTTCTTCATGTGTCTATTGACCATTCTTATTTCCTCTTCAGAGAAGTTTCTCTTTAAGTTTTTAGCCCACTTATTTGTTGGGCAGTTGTTTCTTTAAGGATTTGTTGTTGGGGGATTTAATTTTTTGAGTTCCAGGTATATTTTAGATATGAGACCCTTGTCCATTGTATGTCTCGTGATGATCTTCTCCTGCTCCGTGGGCTTTCTATTGATCTTGCTAGTTATGTCCTTTGGCATGCA